CAGTGGTATGTATAGTTATAAGCAATTTTTTTCAAAACATTATGATTTCATATTACACTTGATCTTATGATCTGATTGGACAATCAGATGGGTGTGATACAATACATATGCACTAAATTATAAAACCTTAGTTTTTAAATATTTTCACTTTTTTTATTAGGTAAATTTATTTATCACATCAGATAATACATCTTATTCATTGCTTTCAACATAATCAATTTCAAAATTTGGTGTAATGTAACATAATTAGAAAAGTTCAAAACAAATGTTTATTTTGTCAAAAATCATTTATAGCTCAAAATATAGTATATGAAACTGCTCTTTAAATTCTAACAAAAAAAATTTCTTAAAAAATTTTACTATAAACCTTCTTTTTTCATCTTTACACTATCTTTACCTTATCCTAACCTTAACTAACAAAAAGAACAGTTTATTTGATTGTTTTGATTTCATGTTACACTTGATTTTAGGGTGTGATAATATCACATATGCGGTGAATAAATTAACTCTTTTTTCTTTTACACATGTTCAAAATTTATATTAGGCTGATTCAGATTTTGTATACTCCAATTGTCTATTTTCTTTTTTGAATACTCATACAAATAAGTGCATGCCACTTTAGCATACTTATATTAGGAAACAAACTAATACTTCCAAAAAGTATAAAGCTGGTCTTTTTGACTAGTCTCATGATTAAATCAGTCCCTGGTTCTGAGACCAGTTCGGACCTGTCTTCATAAATAGCTATATAATTAAAAATACTCTGCGAGCCAATAGAGGTCGGGACGCTTTTGGGACCGAGACCGGGTCAAAAAACGTTAATGGGCTGGTCCATCCCTACTCTAAGTAGTATTTTTTGTCTTGTATCTTTAGTATTTACTAAAAATTTTTTTTAAAAAAAAATTTATATAATATATACATATATCGTGCATCAGATTAAAATTTAAATGCGGAGTTGTTTTAGGGTTAGGGAGAGATACTGCATTTAGGGAGGTAAAAATCTATAAGTGTTATATTAGTTGGGCCCAAGAGAAGACATGCATTTAGGAGGTTTTCATAGAGCGTGCACTGGTTAGGGTGGGTGCCTATACTGTGCCTATGTTAGGGGATAAAGCCAGGTATATAGTTTTTAAGTTGATTAATAAATTAAGTAAAAGTCACGTGAGCCATATATATTAATATACCTGGCTCTAGACGATCTAGGCAACAAATATATGTGTCGGTCATTTAACTGTAGTGAAAAATTTATGGTCCGTATGTAATTTGACAGGGAGTAGGGTCGATTTCACTGTCACGTGATACTCGGAAAACAAACGTTGTTGAGCTAAAAACTTCTTATCAGGGTTACGCGGTTAACATAACCATTAATTATATGCAATTCGACGCGTTTGCTTTGATGCACCTGATTCTGATATATAATTGGTTGAAAATCCCTAGATCGCAGACATATATATCCGATGCATACGTTTAAGACGTTTAAGCTCTTTAAAAGCCATGGCAAATACTTTAAAAAAACTGCTCGAAAGAGCTATTTCGGATGAGCATATTAATTATCTTGAATATAACAAGTTTACCGGTCGTACGGTGATTGGTACTGGAAGTCTTGGAACGGTTTTCAAATGTAAATGGAAAGAATGTGAATTAGCAGTCACGCTTAAATGTATTAGAGTCGATACAGGTTTAGACAAAAAAGCCGCTGAAGAAATTATTAATGAGGTATTATTCTTGTATCAAATGAAATCTTTATCTACTATTATTAAATTAAATTAAATTATTTATATTATTTACGTATACAAGCTTAAATTATTACGAAGAGTTAGTAATCATCAAAATATTATCGCGTTTTATGGAATAACTAAAGGTATACACAATTTATAATTTCTGAGTGTAAAATAATAATTATATTGAAATATTTATTATAAATTATAGATCATGATGGATATTATAATATTGTTTTACAATATGCTGATGAAGGAAATTTACGAGAATACTTGAAAGTAAATTTTAAGAGATTGCAATGGACAGATAAATTACGTATTGCCAAAGAAATAGCGCATGGTCTTTTGTTTTTACATGACAATAATATTATTCATAGGAGTCTTGTAAGTATATTATATATATATATATGCTTGTTTTACATGTTTATGAACTTTAATTCACTAACACTTTGGTAATTTAGCATTCGAAGAACATTTTAATTTATCAAAAACAACCAAAGATTGCAGATTTTGGACTATCGAAACAAATAAATAAGATATCAATGATTTCGGACACTGCTAATCATGAAATGCTGGCTTATGTAGAACCACAATGCTTCACTATTCCCGAATATAAACTTGATAAAAAATCTGATATCTATAGTTTTGGAGTAATTCTCTGGGAAATTTCGAGTGGAAAATCACCATTTCAATCTTTTGAAACAAAAAAATCGCTTGCCCATTATATATTCATGGGAAATAGAGAAAACCCCATGGAAAATACGCCACCTCAATTTATAGAACTTTACAAGCAGTGTTGGGACAAAAAGCCTTCTAATCGTCCAGAGACAAGATTAATTTTCAAAACCTTAAGTCGACTCATTACTGGCGAAAATCTAAATCATCCTATCACTAATGAACTATTTGAAATCACGGCATCATCATCAACTGATCCGCTTGATACCATTGGCTCATACTCGCATGAAATCACAGAAACCACAATATCTCCGCCTGAAACAGCAAACCCAGTATACTCACATGAAATAACGACAGTTACGACGTTACCTCCTAAAAATGATATGCTTGAGTATATAAGAAGGGAAGCGCGTGAATATTTCAATGAAGGCAGATATTTCGAAGCATTAGAACTTTATGAAGAAATTCTCGAGAACAGCCAACATAACGAAGAAGATCAGCAAAACGCTTCAAACTGGAATCTTTCGAAAAAACGGTTAAAAAATATAAATGAGTTGATAAAGGCACTTTATAAGAATACCACCCTGACTTCTTTAAATCTTAATAACAATAAACTTGGAGCAAAAAAAGGAAAAGCATTAGCAGATGCACTCTGCAAGAATACCACCCTCACTTCCTTGAATCTTATAGTGAACTACCTTGGACCGAAGGGAGGAAAGGCAATAGCGGATGCACTTTGCGAGAATACCACTCTAACTTCTTTAAATCTTACATATAATATGCTTGGATCAGAGGGTGGAAAAGCATTAGCAGAAGCACTCTGCAAAAACACATCCCTAACCTCTTTGAACCTTCTTAACAATAAACTTGAATCTGCTGGGGGGAAAGCATTTGCAAATGCACTTTACAATAACAATACCCTAACTTCATTAAATCTTTACAACAACGAACTCGGATTAGAAGGAGGAAAAGCAATAGCCGAAGCAATTTGCAATAATGTCGTCTTAACTTCTTTGAATATTGGAGAAAATAACATTGGGTCAGAGGGAGGAAAAGCAATTGCAGAAGCACTTTGCAAAAATACCACACTAACTTTACTGAATCTCGCCAATAACCGACTTGGGCCAGATGGTGGAAAAGCATTAGTAATTTCACTTTACAAGAATACCGCCTTGGTTTCATTAAATCTTAATAATAATGAACTTGGACCAGAGGTGGGAGAAATGTTAGCGGAGGCACTTTGCAAGAATACCATCCTGACTTCACTAGAACTTAAATATAATGAACTCGGACCAGAAGGTGGAAAATCATTAGCGGAGGCACTTTGTAATAATCTTACACTTACTTCTTTGGATCTTGAAGGGAACCAACTCGGATTGGAAGGAGGAAAAGCTTTAGCAGTTTCACTTTTCAAGAATGCCACTCTGGTTTCATTAAATCTTAAAAGGAATGAACTTGGATCAGAGGAAGGATATGTATTAGCGGAGGCACTTGACAAGAATACTACCCTAACCTCCCTGAATCTTCGGGCTAATAATTTTAGTTCACTAACAAGAGAAAAATTCAGAAAAATTTCTGATAGAAATATATTGGCCTAAATGACCGAATAGAAAGACATTCATGTGATTAGCTAATTTATGCCTAATCAAATCAAAAAAGTTAAATACGCAAATAAATGATTACAGCTTCACTCTTTTATCTATACTATAATTGTTTTTTCTTTTTTTTGAAATAGTGATTTTCAGTTATTCTAGCTTGTATTAGAGACACATTAACTACCTTTAATTACAAGGCATTGACAAAGTAAATGATTGGATGTCATGCACCACATGACGGTTAATAGATTATCATTATATCGTTGACTGATTTGGTGGGAATAGTAAAGTCACGCACATACGTACGTACGTACGTTATTGGAGAAATATTACAATTTTTTATTATGGTTGCTCATGCTAAAGTTGGTTAATGTTGAAATCAAAGGGTTTTCTTTAAATCACCTTGATATAATCACTAGGCTGGAAACGAAATTCGATGTAAATAAGTCTAAACAGAGAATAAAAAAAGGTACTATGTATATACATGGTTTAGTTAATGATTTTGATTTGTGTAATATATAAATTAAATCACAATTATTAAAGTTTGATGTTCGGATTTACACGATTCATTATGTTGATAAACTTGAGTTTGAACTTTGAAACTAAATTAAATGAACTCAATTTTGGACCTCGAAACTAATCGAAGCTCACGAACTTAAGTTTATTTCATTTTCTTTAAACTTAGAGCTGAACTAGAACTAAACACTTAACATTTCTGATTTGAAAGCTTTTTTTAAGTGTTGATCATAGATTTTTTGAATATTTGGAATAGCCTTGGGTGCTAAATTATTAGTTTTATTATAATACAATGTTTTTGAACAAGTCGTATCATAACTAGTACGTACAAGAAATGATAAATGTGTCACTAAAATCAAAAAATATGTATCTAAATGTGATTTATAATGCAGCTACCGTATGTATCGGTATAAATATAAAGTTTCTATGTATAGTTTCATAATTGTCAATATTATAGAAATATAAATTGTCAATAAATTGAAAGCAAAACCAAATTCTATTCAAAAATTAGTTCGAAAGTGGTATGATATTCTTTTCCATTTGCTTGGTTCTTTGCGGTGGCTTTAATCTCCGTCTCTCCAAATAAAAGTGTGTAAACAACTGAGCGATTAAGTCCAAGATGCTTATCAGGCATTTTAATTGTAAATTTTCCAAGTAATTCAACACCGGGTTCATCACAATATTTTGCCTCATACGCACGTGTAACATATAAATCCATGCACATATCATTCTGATTCGCATGCGCAACACGAAGAATATCGGAAACTTCTTCATTAACATCCACTTTTTGTCCACGCTGTATTAATGTATGGAATCGAAAAATTTTTCCATCAGGAGTTCTTCGGTTTAACGGATCACCAGGCTGCCAATCAGGTAAGGATCTAATGCCATAGGTATACCTCAATACACGTGATTTTACTACAGCCGTATCGAGGCCATAAAGCAAAGCCCCCTGAACAACAGCTGCAATAGGTTTATCAGGACTTGAAATAATAGGCACACTCTTTTTAAACTCTTCTTTGATTCTTTTTCGCAAATATCTAGACTCACTAAACCCACCTACCAAAAACATTGCAGTACAATCTTTACATGCTTCCAATTGACTACGTATTAACCGAATAATTCTACCAACTATAGGATCAAACATTGACTTAACATCTTCAAATTCAATATCAATTACCCATTCTAATTTTTCC